GACTCACCTAGATAGAGGAGGCTGCTCTCTTATCCTCCTCACTAACCTCCCCTTCTGGACTGGGGCCCTTCTCCTGCCATCAGATAATGCTCTCACATGCAAATCTGTCCAAGTGTCACCCAATAAAGCTTGTGTGTGCCACTGCCACCTCATATCCATATCTTTTTTCCTTGATCAGCCCCCAAATCCCTCAAACTCCCTACATTGTACAAATGAGGAACTGAATTTTTAATATAGTCCAATTAAATTAAATAGCCACATAAGGCAAGTGGCTGCCACATCAGACAGCACAGCTTCAACTCACTTAATCCTTCACACACAGCATTTAATAATCAACCACACACACGTGCCAGGTACTACCCAAGGCCCTGAGAGTTTCCTGTCCTCTATATATTCTAATAAATAAGCAGATACCAGAGAGTGACAAGTACAACAAAGAAAAACACAGGGACAGGAGGAGGGCGAGGGCTGGCCACAATAGGGGTCAAAAGCAGGTGACCTCTGAACAGAGACTTCAGTGAAGGTAGGAAAATCTCAAACACCTGGGGCAGAGGAATGCAAGCAGAAGTAACAGCAGGACTCAGTGAGAACTTGGCATGAGTGAAGAACACATACTTTAAGGGGTTAAGTTTAAGCCCCCATTCCCAAACCTTGGCCACAGAGACAGAATGGCCATGGCAGGCAGGCAGGCTGAGGCATGGTAAGTGAGGGGAAGCTGGTGGAACAGGTTCGGCCCACGGCCAGGGGCAGATCCCACAGGCCCTAAAGGCCAGGGAAGTGCTGGCCAGTGTGCAGGACGGATGTTCATGAAGGTTACAGCATAAAACAGTTCCCTAATTATTTTATGGGGGACATTGGCTGCTTGGGTCACCTCATGCAACATGTTCTAAGATAGACACTTTCCCTTTGCTTGCACTGACTGGGTCCAGATGAGTGCCCTCAGGAAGAGCAAACCCTTGACTTCCCAGATCACACCATCCTTCACAGGCAAACCATCCCCAGTCCTGCAGGAGTCCCTCAGATGGTGGGGCTTGCAGAACTTTCCTGGTTGTCTCAGAGTTTGTAAAAATTCCCCCTAAAATGTGATGCCCAGAGCTCAAAGCAAAGCTCTAGCCTAAACTGTAAATGTCACTCCACAAAAAGGCTTTAATTGCCATGACTGAAAAGCAAGGAGATTTCACATAAAAATATGGGTTTCCAGCTTCTCTTGAAAAAGCAGAGATCTATGAAACCTAAGGCTGCAGGGCAGGTACACAGGACTTTCCGCTCCTCAGACAGACACACATGCTCTTCTTCTCCTGGCCCCACACCTGCTCCAGACCTTAACACACCAGGATTTTCTGAGAACTAAACCAAGTGATGGATGTATGTGCAGTGCTAAGACCAGGGTTTGGAACAAGAAAAGTGCTCCATAACTGACAGGTAGCAGGACTGCTGCTCTTCTGGAGGCATCTGAGTCTGTGACTATCTGGCAGTGGAACCTCTGTACCTAAGCTCTGGGCACATTTATTTTGGCCCAAGGTTCATTCCTACAAACTCACAGTCACCTATAATTCTGCCTTTCCTCCACCTTTGCCCCCTGCCTCTGCACACCTGCCTCACATTAACTTAAATAAAGGACACTCCATTTATCCCTCTCTACTTGCACATTCCCATCATATTCTCTTTCCCAATCTGTGTTGACACATCCAAGAAGGCTGGCAACTTCCCTCCCAGATGCAGTTTGGGAAATCAACTTTTTTGCTCCAATCTCTTAGAGAGCCCAAAGTGATGCTCACCTCCTTGAGGACATCTGCACCCTGAAATTTCCTACATTTCTAAGCCCAAGAGAGCAATCATGGTGATGCAACAGGAGCTGGCAATAACTGTTGGCTCAGCCATGTGCTACAAAATCCTCTGTAACTTCACCAGGCAAACCTAAAAGGTGTTCTCCATCCCCTTCTGCATACAGGACATCAGGGCCTTGAGTCATAGACTGAAGGCTCCATGAGATCAAAAACAATCTGTGTTTTTTTAAAAAAACCTATTAGTCACAAATCCATGGACCAGAGCCCCAGGTGTCAAGGTGACCCCTGAACCTGAAAAAGTTAAATAGCAGCAAGCCCAGTCTTTTAACTGACTGCACCTTGAATTTGTTGGTTTCTCACATTCCTTTACACTGGGGCTCCCTGACTATAGATGCCTTCATTCATTTTAGCATTGAAAATAAGTTAGAAACAAGTTAAAAGAATGATTTGAAACACACATCCAAGGGGAGGGCTGAGAAGTACTGATTCCTGACTCCTCATAACCACAACTTCATGATGGCCCCATCTGTCTCTCTACCCTGCCTTCCTTAATCTTCAGTCTTAAAAAGGGAAAAGGAAAATGAATACAGTAGGGATTCTTAATTAGCTTAAAATCCTTTAGAAGTTTACTGAAAAAGCTGTTAAATTTTTAATGTACTCACTCTTCAATCCTTAACAGTTACACAGAGACATTAAACAGCTACTCTCTCTTCCCAGACTGAACTATGTTCCAAAAGAGAAGGAACAGTATTAGTGTTGCAATCCTTCTGACAGAGTTTGTAAAGCATTTGGAGAAATTGATGCCAAATAACAGTAATTAAAAGTTTGCACTAGTATGTTAAAGTGCATAGCTCATCTATATTCCACACTGAAGAAAAGGAGTTAATGACCACATTCCTCAGTATAACTTAAATACAGAAATTCAAGAGTTTTGGCATAAAACCTTATTTCCAAAGCATAATTTAAAAATACCCTTCTCAATCATTGTCCAGTTCCCAATGCTATCCTCACTCATTCATTTCTGCTTCTCCTTTGACTCCATTACTCTAACTTTATATAAACCACTTGACTCCCATAGACTTAGGTACCCTCAGCTGTCAAACAGAGCTAACATTACATTTCATGGCAAGAGTCAGGAGACTAGCTAAGGTATCAGTAAGTGTCCCATCCACTAAAATCTACCGTCCTATTTCTGTTCTCTTGATTGAAGAACATACCATTCAAGGTCTTCTTTTTCCTACTTAGCGCATCTAAAATTTACTCTATAGTTGTCAGATTTCTCCTTCCTTCAGATTCCTTTACTTCACCCACTATACACAATGCTCTCCTGCCTTATGGTGAATCCTCAACTTTTAAGGTAAATCAAGAAAACAGTGAGGTACTAGACATGATCACAAAAGAAATGAAAAAAAAAAGGGGGGGAGAATCGCATCAGAAAAATAAGAAAAACAACTATAGAGTTACAATAATAAATGTAGAAAAAATGACAACTCACTTTGAAAAAACAGACTATTACAGATACATAGAAATGGGGAAGAGAAAGAGAGAAATACAGGAAAATAAGAATAACATTCATGGACAGAGAAGTCAAGAAAATGTCTTAAATACACACGGTTTTGTAAAAGGTACAGTCGAAAAGAACAGCAGCAGATGGTGATTCTGTAACATCCAGTTCATCCTGCCATTAAGTCAGAAATCCCACAGAGAAACTGAAAAACAATTTAATTAAATCTGCCCCTCTATCATGTGGTCAGGAGTGTCAGAGAAGCCCAGCTGAGAGTTGGGTCCATCCAACAAGTGCTCTCAGGTGCCATACGCCCTGGTTTTCACCACACTCCACCTCAAGGCAAACTCAGAGCCAGCTGCGCTTTCATTTCCCATGTACAAGTGCACGAGCAAGTCTTGCTTTCATGGTTTCTGTAGTGCAGCCATGCCAGTCCATGCATGTCCATTCTAAAAGGCTCCTCAGTCATCAGCAGACCATGACTTCACAATATCCACAATCAGTAAAGTGACCAACTTGGCCTGGTTTGCCCAGGGTTAGCAATGAAAGTCCTGCGTCTCTGGAAACCTGAGTTTATTCAGCATATTACTCACCTTCCCACCGGATCTAGGAGTCAAATATCACCAAACTATGTTCTCTGCAAATTGCCTTTCTAAAACCAAGACACTCCTTTCTGCGATAGCTCTCCTTCAAGTGTGGCCCTCTTATTATCATCAGTGAATATTCAGTCTGCTCCCACAAAACCTAGCCCTCATTATGTACCACAACCCCAGGCACACCAGTAAATATTTCCAATATTTCTATCAACTTCTAGGTCAATCGGTTCCACAACTTTGAGGTTGGTGTGCAGGAGGCCTCTTGGTCCTCCCTAAAAATGTACAGTTATGAGACTCAGGAGACAAAATTAAAGGGGGAAGTGTAAGTATTATATTTTTTAATGCATGTCTTCAGTTTTAGCTAACAAAACATAGTATACTCAAATTCTGGAAGGTTCAGAGACGTGAAGGCCAAAAATCTGAGGGTTTTGTTTTGTTTTGTTCTGCTTTTTAATTAGGTAGGCATCAACTAGTTTCCTACGCTTCTCCATCCCTATCAGGAAAAATCTGCAAGCCTAAATTCTCACAAAAGTTGCTTAACAATGTCACTTCTGTTCTCTACATTTTCCTGAAAACCACAGTGAAAACTGGTCACACAGCGAGAGGTGGGAAGGTGCAGAAGAGCCAGTGCAGAGTCCAGCTCTTCGCGGAAACAGGAGCCGCGACCCGAGCATGCTTTCGGACTTCCTTTCAGAACAGGGAGAGCGGGGAGCTGGGAAGACCTAGGACCGTGGCAAGGTGGCTCTCCCCCGGGGGACTGGGTACGCCAGTAGGAAGGATAGGAAGGAGGGGGCGAGAGAGCTTGGGAAAGGCGAGGAAGCCACAGCTCTGTAAATTGGGGAAGGAAGGAGGAGCAGAGAGGGGCAGATGTGGAGCGAGGCGGTCTCAGGACCGCAAGAACCAGGGAACACTGCTGAAATTGGGCGCAGGGTGCACCCAGGCCTCAAGGACCTGGCAGGTGCATCCGCTTGGTGGGAGCCTGTTTCTTTCCCCCATAAAATGAGTTTTGCCCGGGAAAGTAAATGGGATGAAGCCTGCAGCGCGCTTGGCAACGCATTTACCCAATTGCTGTTACTGCCGTCCTAGTGGATACAGAGGGTCGACCCGGCCTACCTGCCGTCCTTGGCCTCGGGTGCCTGGCCATCGTCCGTGACGACCTGTGGCCGCAAGGGCCGCCGCTGCCGCAACCCCTCCGCCTCACTCATGGTGTGAGCCCCTCAGTCGTCAAGCCCGTCACTAACCCGGACAGAGGAGTACAAGCTCTGCCCCGGCCCGCCCCGGCCCGCCCGGGCCCGCCCCGATCCGGGCCACGCACCGCCCTCGGCCCCACCCCGGCTGCGCGCGGAAGTGACGTCATTGGCGCACTCCTTCCGTCAGCTGCCATGGCCCTCTCTAGAGCGTTCGTTGGGCGGCTCTTCTCCGCGACCTGGAGCGGGAAGAGGTCGGAGAGGTCCCTGGCCAGGCGCGGGGCTCGGAAGTGGGCCCTGATCCAGTGAGGACGTTTCTGAAGCCCCAGATCGCGGATGGTCTAACCCCGGGCACTTCCAGCTCAGCCCTTCGCTTCCTGCGTTCCTTTCACTGCTGGCGTTGGAACCCCCGCAGTCGGTAGGCGGGTGAACGTGCACATCGGCGGCGCTGGGCTGAGGTGGTGGCCGCTTGTGTGGGTAGAATGTGGCACTGCATGTTAAATGACAAAGAGCCTGGTTCTGGTTCGTATAGGCGGGATAAATAAATAAACAAACAAATAAAAAAAAATAACGAGTTGCATTGGAGCCTGGTTCGTATAGGCGTGGTAAAAATAAATAAATAAATAAATAAGTTAAATAACGGGTTGGAGGCTAGGAGGGCAGTAATGCTCACCGGAAAATCATATGACCTTTTACAAACAGATCCCTTTAAGGGGAAAATTTGGGACATACATGCTGTTCTTTAGATTAAGGCCACTGAATATTAAATCTTTTTGCTACAACAGAATATTTGATAAGGTTTGTGTAAGGGTTACCCTTGGAAGCAAAAGCGGGGTATATAGAAATCATTAATTACAACATAAGGTCTAAGAAAGCACAAAGCAATCATCAGTTCATCCATTTAACAATATTTTAATCAGCTAGGTATATCTCTAGGTGCTGGGAGGTGATGGTGAGCAAACCATAGACAAGCTCCGTCACTGAAATTAAACTGGTGAGAGATGACTTTAATCAGGTCATCAAAAAGATAAATGTGAAATGTAAAAATTGCATTACAGGGAAGTAACATGATCTTGTAAGAGTATTTGATGGATTAAAGACCTGAGAAATGACTAGGATTTTGAGAAGAAACAGGATTTCCAGGCAGAGGGAACCATATCCCACTACTGTGCATCATTTTTAGAAAAGGCATGTTCAAAATGAAGTATTAATTAATTTGCTTATTGCAACTAAAACCTTTCCTGATCAAACATGCCATTGCCGTTCCTAGTGTTAGGGGGCACTAGAATCCCACATGACTGTGGTAAGAGATGAAGAACCAGCATGAGGGAAGTGAAGAGCTCTCATATCAATCCAGTTCTGCAAGGATTACCAGGTCTGGCAGGGATATAATTAAGGCCTTGGCAATATTTTACTTCATTTCCTATCCAGTACAATCAGGATAGCTGTTAGATCCAGGATAGTTCAGGCAGCACTGCATGATCTGGCCCTGTCAGGATAATCCTATCTGGATTTTTCCCTCTTGAGTTTTAGACACTCAGCATTGCTTGTTGTTTCTAACTTTATGCCTCCCTGCTTTTGTCCATCTTATTCCTTCCTGTGAAAATGTTTTCCTTCACCACTTGGCCAAAATAACTTTTGTCATTTAGGACTCATTTCAAGTACCATTGCTGAAAACTCTTCCCCTAATTTCTTAAGCAGAATATCTTTGTGTCTAAGCCACTTTGAACATACCCCAAATATAGGATTTAGCTTATTGGTTTAGAATTATTTGTATTCCATGCCCAGCATTAAAGCCCACCAATCAAAACAGTCAGGAACATACCTGTAAGTAATAGTAATAAGAAGTTACATTTATTGAACTTGCTGTAGCAAAGAAATTAACCAGAGGACCTGTGAGGCACCTAAAAAATGGGAGGATTATGGAAGGTCCTTGAGGGGTTAGGGCTGGTGTTTGTAACAGATGGTCTTGGCAGAGATGGGCCAGAATTTATAAACTAGGAGATTCATTGTGGGGGGAGCCCATGGTCCTACCTGGAACACATGAATCCAAGTGGAGTTATTGGGAGATCAGCTTGTCTTGTCTCAGAGAAAATGGTCTGAATGAGCTAAATTAGAGGGTTTGAACTTGGATTGTGTTGGGTGGCACAGTTAAGTACCGTTTTTCATGGTGAGATCCACATTGCCTATCGTGGTTTATTTCAGTTATCTCCCCAGGCTGTAGCCTAGCTGCCACCCAGTTATCAGCAGGGAGATGGAAACAATGTAATTGGTTAGTCCAGGTTAATCAACCTCAGCACCACTGATATTTTGGGCCAGATAAGTCTTTGTTGGGGGTGGCAGGGAGAAGCTCTCCTGTGTATTGCGGGATGTTTAGCTGCATCCCTGGTCTCCATCAGGTAGATGCTAGTAGAATCCCACCTAGTCATGATAATCAGTAGTGTCTCTGAAAATTGCCAAGTATCCCCTGGAGACAAAATAGCCCCTGACTGCAAACCACTGGGTTAGACCAACCAGAAGCCACCCTCATGCACCCTGAGAGTGGGGATGAAGCTCACTTGCATTGAAACTCTGACCCGCATGGAAGTTATTTATCTCAACAAATCAGGGTTCTGCCAGCAGGGAAGGAGCGACAGTGATGCTGAGGGAGCAGCCAGTAGGGTGCCTCATGGCTTAAACTAGCTCTCTATTTGCTCCCTATTTCCCTGTGTCCAGTACAGTGGACATAGGGAATGCTCCCTATTTCTAGTCCAGTGCTTTTTCCCTATCCTATACTGTTTCCATTCCTTTTGTAGATATCTCTTGAAAGCCTTTCAGGCACTTAGCCAAGTGCTGTGACAAAACAAAGGTGAAATAAGGTAAGCCAAAGTGCAAACATATATAATCTCAGAGGGAAGATTAGCATAATAACCAATCTAAAACAGGGCCATGGAGGAACTACACAGTGCATTGAGGGCCACAAGGGGCAAGTCCCATCAGGTAGCAGTGCCCAGAGAAGATTTCATGGAGGAAGTGACCAGTGAACCAGGCCTTGGTTAAGTAGGATTATAACGGACAGGTTGAGGGGATGGAAGAGGACAAGAAACAGGCTTAAGAGGGAAGCATGGGGTGTCTATGGATTGATCAATAAGAGGGTGACCAGGGTAGATTTCAAGGTTATGAGTAATAAAGGAAGAAGAATCATCTAAAAGACACTCTAAAGGGGTGAAGAAGAACAGCGATGGACTGAGAGCCCTTCTTCCCGCCCTGCATCCAGGAGAGCGGGAGTGACCTGCTCCAAACAGGATTTCAAGCTAAGTTGTTGTGTTGGAATGGGAAGCTCTGGTGTCAGCTCAGGTGGGACAGTGGAGAGCATAAAGTTAGAGAATGTAGAATTGCTTGTTTAGAGTAGAAAATTATCTTAGAGATCAACCAGTTGCCAGACACAGACATTCACAAAAATCCACTTAAGATGAGGGAGGGATTTATTAGAAGGATATGGGGATATCCCATGGAACTCCAAAACAAAGTGCAACCCAGCCTCACAGGAACTGGTACAAGAACCTGGAAAAACAGAAGCAGTATTCTTCTCAACCTCCCTGGTACCCCACTGTGTTTTGTCTCTTGTCCCTGTGTGATTTGGTGACTTGCCTTGTTATGGGACTGTCTGTCTTTGTCCTTGATGCCTTTTATTAGAGCTGAATACAGTGACACAGGCTACAATCTGGCCTTGAGTTAAAAGGAGAAATCTCGGGTTTCTTTTAGCCTCTAGGAAATGTTCTTGCTTTTCCAAAAATAAAAATTTTTATTTCTTATCCTGCTCTGACCCCAGAGTTATACTTAGAATGGCAGTAGCATCTTTGTAACAGTGGAAAATCACCCTGAGGTCTAGAAGACAACACTATGAGAACAGAAAACCTAGACTGCTGACTCTTGCCAGTAACCATGTACCCCTGGGTTTCTGGGTTACATGAGGAAGACCACCCCTTGTATATCCAAGGTCGGTCAACTGAGCAGTATGTGCTTGCTCCTAAACGCATCCTATCTCATATGCCAGCATTCTCTGCTTGGACATGCCCATGCAGACAATTACTGCCTCAAGCCCAGCTCTCCATGACCTTCCATTTCAGGTGTCCCACCAGTTAACTACTCTCTTTATCTGCAGATATCTTTAACTAACTCTTTATCTATCTTTAACTAACTCTTTATCTGCATTCCAGATTCCTGGAAGCAGACTCTGATGTTCCCAACTTTGGTGAGATGCTCACGTCCAATTGCCAGGTTAGAGGACCGGGTCCCATGTTCCACTGACTATTCAGAGCAGGGAGGAATGAGAGAGGAGACTAGGTGGCATAGGCATGAGCAGGGTGGGGATGGCACATCAAATGATGTCTGCCCTAGTGAGAAGTAGGCAAGGGGAGAGATAAGGATTATTAGTAAGCTGACTGGAGAAAAGTGCCTTAATTACCCTAATGAGGATTCTTAGGGTCAACCCTGACTTGGTAGGAAAAGTTGCTCAGTAGGAAAGACACTGACCAGTCAGCATCTACATAGACCTGGACATTCATTATTGTTACCTCTGTCGAGAAATGAGCTCATCTGCTCCATCGTTTCCTTGGGAATCTTAGCACTGACGTATCCTGGTTGACACAGGTCACTCGTTAATTACATTTCATTACATCCAGAAACCCTTTCTTGAAAACAACCAGTTATTTCCCTTTGGACAATTTCTGCTCTGCCTTTTTGTGCAAATTTATAAAAGCTAAGTGTTTCATTGGCTCAGGAATAAACAGATGTGTGCTTGGCTGAAGTGATGTCCTTCTTTGGGAAAGAATCAGCCCAAAATGAGACTGTGCATCCAGAAGGCTGCTCAGCAGAAGTTTGGTCTGCATTAGCAAGGAGACTAGACACAGTTACCCAGTTGGTGGCTCTTACCAGGAAAATTCCACCTTGTCTGCAAAGGAAGTTGGCAGGTCATCTATTCCAGCAGGCATTCTGAACTCCTTGGTACTTTCCAGTTTGTTGATGATGTTCTAGGCCAGCCAGACCTGGCTTTCTTCCCATTTGCTCTTTCTAGGTGTACTTTACCTCAGATTTTGCCCTCTGGTTTGTCACCTCC